GGTAGGAAAGAGCTGTTCCCTGCTTTCAGGCTGCTGTGCCTGTCTCCACTGCCTGAGCCAGTGGGCCGGGCACACAGGTATAAGTTTTTGTCCCAGAGCAGCCAGATATGGATCCCTGCTTTCCACAAGCAGCCGGAATCCCAGTCTCCCCAGGTACTCTGCCTGTATTAACTTTCCAACTCGGTAGTCATGCGAGTCTCATGAAAGCACCATGAAATGTAGATTTGTGCTCCCAGAGCAGATCTCTGGAGCTAGGTATTCAGCAGTCCCAAGCCTTCCACTCCCTCCCTGCTCCGTTTTTCTTCCTCTCGCTGGTGAGCTGGGTGGTGGAGGGGCTTGGGTCCCACGGAGCCACAGCTCTGGTACGTTACCCTGTTCACTGAGGGCTGCTCTTTTCTCCAGGTGTGTGCAGTCTGATGCCGTGCTCTTTCCTGTTGCTCTCTCAGGATTAGTTGCCCCAATTAAATTTTCTAATTGTATCCAGTTTTAGGAGGAAGCCTCTGTCTCTCCTCTCACGCCGCCATCTTTAATCCTCTTCTCAGTTTGTTACTTCTTACTCATATTTTTGCGTGTATTCTCATTCAATTCTAAGTATTCCTCTATACATTGATTCATGTCAATATGTTTTTTCAAGTTTACCAATTATGAGGAACACAGTTCATTGGATATTTACTTCAGGTTTCAGCTCAGATGTCACCTTTTCGGAGAGGCCTTCCCTGATCACCTTTCAAAAGAGCTTTCCTCATTTATCTGAGCATAACATCCTAGTTATGTCTTAAAAGTATTTTTTAAATTTATTTCTGTACTTGTTTTTTTTTTTTATAATTTTCCACACTGAAATATAGGCTCCATGAGGGTAGGCATCCTGTGCCTAGTAATATAATAGATACTAGGTATGTTGTTGAATGAATAAATGTTTGATATGAATAATTTCCACTGAATAACAACCCAATATTTTATAATTCTCATTTTCTTTCAATTGTCTTGATGTAGGATGTTGTTTAATCACTTGCAATTCAACCCATTCATTTATTAAGCTTCCATCCATGCACAAAACACTGAGCCTGTAGCTATGTGGAATACAACGGAAATAATAAAAGCCCCTGCATTCAAGGAGTTAGTTCAGTGGGGGAGAGATATACCCAATGAAGTAAAATTGAGGACTTCTTGATGAGTGCTTCAATGGCAGTGTTAATAAAGAAGAGTGGGAGCGTAGGAAAAACAATTCATTCTGATGGAAGAGCCAGGGAAGGATTCATGCAAAAAATGTATTTTGAGTTCTGTAAACTTAGAAAGCTTTCTAAGTAGGGCAGTAAGTAGATGTGTGTTTAGGGAGAAATGTCTGCCACCCTATGAGGGAGTGATTACAGGGGAGAGAGGTGGAAGTGTTCTGCTAACAGACTGGCACAACATTCTGGGGGAGGAATGATGGCTTTCTGTTCTGCGGAAGCAGGAAGTCACAGGATGGACAGATTTGAGAGACACTCACTGGAATGGAGAAGAGGTGCCTTCACGATTACATAGGTAATTAAGGACAAAAAAGCCAGAAGTGAGTTTAGCCTTGAGTCTAGGAGGGTCGTGCTACTGTGCTCTAAGATCAGAACCATGGAGAACTGAGTTTGGCAGGAAAAATAATTAATTGGCTTTTTCAGTGTTGCATTGAAAATACTAGAGAAGGTGAAAATATAGGCTTGTGCTCAGCATAATTTGTCTAAGCTACACATACACACACACACACACACACACACACACATATGCATGCACACCTTTTGCAGAGAGAGCATAGTACAATGTTGATTGATTTTTTTTTCCTTCAGAATTAGGCACAAATATTCTACTTACACTCAAGTAATGCTGCCAGTGTCCATGCTTAGCTAAGAAGCTAATTTCCCTGTCACAAAATATTAAGAGCTCTAAGATAAAGTCATCAGCAGCATTTCATAAAAGTCAGAAACAAAGTTCATTTTTATTTTGCCATGGAGGTGGCATTTTTTTTTGTGCTTTCTATGTTCTGTACATATAAAATTAAACAACTTACAAATATAATACACTCCTTTGCTTATGTTATATACAGTTTTAATACATTATATAAGTTATCTTAATTTTTTTCTTAGCTCTTAGGTGCATATTTTAATAGAGCCTCTAAGGAACAAAAAGATAAGTTTCTGAAGAATCGTGGCTTTTCCTTGCTAGCCAACCAGTTGTATCTTCATCGGGGAACTCAGGAATTGTTAGAATGCTTCATTGAAATGTTCTTTGGTCGACGTATTAGCCTTGATGAGGAGTAAGTGGATTCATTCTTCCTCCCCATAATTTGGGATTGTTTGTCTTAGATGTAAAATTTATTAAACTGATTCTTAACAAAATTATTTGGACATTTTAGAAAAAAATCTGCCAAATGTCATTTTCCAGGTGAATCTATATGATATTCTTCCTAGTGTAAATTCTTCATTTGTATTTCATTCACTAACTAGACTAGAAACTAGAAACAAATAAATGCTGCATCAAATAGAAGAAAGTGATAGTTAAGTTTTGGTACATTGTATCAACACGAGAGGGTTGACTGAAAAGAAGGTGGTTCCTGTATTCTCAGCAACAGATTGCATGAGTGACCACAGAGAAGCTCTCACTACCTCAGAGTCTTCAGGTTATCTGGGAGGAGGGTGAACCCTTTGCCTGGAGTTCTGGTATACTGTTTACAGAAATTGAACCCTGGTATATACAATACTGAAGGATTAGCAGATAAATACAAAAATATTTTCTTCCAAACTAAAAGTTTGGCTGAAAAGTTAAATTTGTTATTTCTGTGTGTGATAAAGTAGAGAGAAATGTGTGTCTTGCTATTATTATAAGTATAGCCTACTTATTGTTAAGCAAATTCCTCAAGGTCTGAATTAGTTCTTAAGGAATATACTTACTGATTGTGGTGATGACAATAGTATTTTCATTTGCATACAGCTTTTGGCTCTTTCAAATTAATTCAGCAATTATCTCATTTGATTCTCACAACAGCCTTGAGAAGAAAGTAGGGCAAATATCACCACATGTATTTGACAGAAAAGGAAAATGAGGCACAAAATGATTAAATTATTTCCCTCTATTACAGAGGCAAATAATATTGGGACAAGATCTCAAAATTCATTCCTTTTGCTAGACCTCTTTTTACTAGCTCTCTCAAATACTAATATTTTCCTGTGCACATGTTATATAGAGCCCTAAAACAGGGGTTCTGGGACCCCTAAAGTTCCCATAAATGAAGTGAGTCATTTGAAACCATGAAATTGTATACATGTTTCATCAGAATGTTTGTATATTTACCTCAGCACAGACTTCTAATAACACATTTTATCTTATTGGAAGAGTGTATGATCTAAAATAAGGTTAAGAATCCTTGCTCCCCCAATTTTTTTTTTTAGCTTTGAAGTTAAGTTAACAAAACAGCCCATATTGTAATCATCTTTTCCTTATTTTGTGGTTGATTGCTTCTAACATGCTTTTAACTGTATTATTTATTATAGATTTGATCTAGAAGATGTGAAAAACATGGAACTTTTTCAGAAGTGGTCTGTCATTCCTATTCTGGGACTAGTAGAGACCTCCCTCTATGACAACATGCTCTTGCATAATGCTCTTTTACTTCTTCTCCAAATATTAAATTCTTGTTCTAAGGTAGCAGATATGTTGTTGGATAATGGTCTACTCTACGTGTTATGTAATACAGTAGCAACCCTGAATGGACTAGAAAAAAAGTAAGTTTTAAATCATTATTTAAACCTACATCTGGTAATATATTGGAAAGTGAAAACTAGTAATAGGCTACATTAAAGCATCTGAATTGTCAAAATACTTTCAAAGAACTTCTTTCCTGAAAAAACTGATTAGATTAGATTTATTTTGAGTTCTGTAAACTTAGAAAGCTTTCTAAGTAGGGCAGTAAGTAGATGTGTGTTTAGGGAGAAATGTCTGCCACCCTATGAGGGAGTGATTACAGGGGAGAGAGGTGGAAGTGTTCTGCTAACAGACTGGCACAACATTCTGGGGGAGGAATGATGGCTTTCTGTTCTGCGGAAGCAGGAAGTCACAGGATGGACAGATTTGAGAGACACTCACTGGAATGGAGAAGAGGTGCCTTCACGATTACATAGGTAATTAAGGACAAAAAAGCCAGAAGTGAGTTTAGCCTTGAGTCTAGGAGGGTCGTGCTACTGTGCTCTAAGATCAGAACCATGGAGAACTGAGTTTGGCAGGAAAAATAATTAATTGGCTTTTTCAGTGTTGCATTGAAAATACTAGAGAAGGTGAAAATATAGGCTTGTGCTCAGCATAATTTGTCTAAGCTACACATACACACACACACACACACACACACACACATATGCATGCACACCTTTTGCAGAGAGAGCATAGTACAATGTTGATTGATTTTTTTTTCCTTCAGAATTAGGCACAAATATTCTACTTACACTCAAGTAATGCTGCCAGTGTCCATGCTTAGCTAAGAAGCTAATTTCCCTGTCACAAAATATTAAGAGCTCTAAGATAAAGTCATCAGCAGCATTTCATAAAAGTCAGAAACAAAGTTCATTTTTATTTTGCCATGGAGGTGGCATTTTTTTTTGTGCTTTCTATGTTCTGTACATATAAAATTAAACAACTTACAAATATAATACACTCCTTTGCTTATGTTATATACAGTTTTAATACATTATATAAGTTATCTTAATTTTTTTCTTAGCTCTTAGGTGCATATTTTAATAGAGCCTCTAAGGAACAAAAAGATAAGTTTCTGAAGAATCGTGGCTTTTCCTTGCTAGCCAACCAGTTGTATCTTCATCGGGGAACTCAGGAATTGTTAGAATGCTTCATTGAAATGTTCTTTGGTCGACGTATTAGCCTTGATGAGGAGTAAGTGGATTCATTCTTCCTCCCCATAATTTGGGATTGTTTGTCTTAGATGTAAAATTTATTAAACTGATTCTTAACAAAATTATTTGGACATTTTAGAAAAAAATCTGCCAAATGTCATTTTCCAGGTGAATCTATATGATATTCTTCCTAGTGTAAATTCTTCATTTGTATTTCATTCACTAACTAGACTAGAAACTAGAAACAAATAAATGCTGCATCAAATAGAAGAAAGTGATAGTTAAGTTTTGGTACATTGTATCAACACGAGAGGGTTGACTGAAAAGAAGGTGGTTCCTGTATTCTCAGCAACAGATTGCATGAGTGACCACAGAGAAGCTCTCACTACCTCAGAGTCTTCAGGTTATCTGGGAGGAGGGTGAACCCTTTGCCTGGAGTTCTGGTATACTGTTTACAGAAATTGAACCCTGGTATATACAATACTGAAGGATTAGCAGATAAATACAAAAATATTTTCTTCCAAACTAAAAGTTTGGCTGAAAAGTTAAATTTGTTATTTCTGTGTGTGATAAAGTAGAGAGAAATGTGTGTCTTGCTATTATTATAAGTATAGCCTACTTATTGTTAAGCAAATTCCTCAAGGTCTGAATTAGTTCTTAAGGAATATACTTACTGATTGTGGTGATGACAATAGTATTTTCATTTGCATACAGCTTTTGGCTCTTTCAAATTAATTCAGCAATTATCTCATTTGATTCTCACAACAGCCTTGAGAAGAAAGTAGGGCAAATATCACCACATGTATTTGACAGAAAAGGAAAATGAGGCACAAAATGATTAAATTATTTCCCTCTATTACAGAGGCAAATAATATTGGGACAAGATCTCAAAATTCATTCCTTTTGCTAGACCTCTTTTTACTAGCTCTCTCAAATACTAATATTTTCCTGTGCACATGTTATATAGAGCCCTAAAACAGGGGTTCTGGGACCCCTAAAGTTCCCATAAATGAAGTGAGTCATTTGAAACCATGAAATTGTATACATGTTTCATCAGAATGTTTGTATATTTACCTCAGCACAGACTTCTAATAACACATTTTATCTTATTGGAAGAGTGTATGATCTAAAATAAGGTTAAGAATCCTTGCTCCCCCAATTTTTTTTTTTAGCTTTGAAGTTAAGTTAACAAAACAGCCCATATTGTAATCATCTTTTCCTTATTTTGTGGTTGATTGCTTCTAACATGCTTTTAACTGTATTATTTATTATAGATTTGATCTAGAAGATGTGAAAAACATGGAACTTTTTCAGAAGTGGTCTGTCATTCCTATTCTGGGACTAGTAGAGACCTCCCTCTATGACAACATGCTCTTGCATAATGCTCTTTTACTTCTTCTCCAAATATTAAATTCTTGTTCTAAGGTAGCAGATATGTTGTTGGATAATGGTCTACTCTACGTGTTATGTAATACAGTAGCAACCCTGAATGGACTAGAAAAAAAGTAAGTTTTAAATCATTATTTAAACCTACATCTGGTAATATATTGGAAAGTGAAAACTAGTAATAGGCTACATTAAAGCATCTGAATTGTCAAAATACTTTCAAAGAACTTCTTTCCTGAAAAAACTGATTAGATTAGATTAGATTTGGAGGGTGTGTAATTTCTATCTTTTTCAACAGTTTGGTTAAAAATAAAGAGCTTAGGTGACCTACTTTAGGTATTTAGAACCTGAAGCCAAGTTGAATAAAATTAACTGTCCTCACATATACTTACCGAGCTTCTGCTGTAGTCTTATAAAAAATATTGTCCACATAGAAATAGGAAAGTGAAGACCAAAGAGATACAGTACCTTGTTGAAGATCACACAGCTAATAGCAGAGAACTTGAGACTGCATCTGTCTCACTTAAAAAGCCTATTTTCAATTCACCACGCTATCCTACTTATAGCATACCATACCATTATTACCATAAATTAATTTCTAATATTCAAAAATGCATTGGCAGGTCGCTGCTCACCAAGTTGATTAATAGTTTAAAAAATTATGTTAGGGGATTATATTTATATTTGGATTTTGTTCCTTTGGTGTCTGCATTTTTGATGTGTGGTGTAACATTTTTATTTGCATAATGTTAAAATAAGATCTCCAGAAGCATCGTCTTACTGCATGTTAAAGCATTACATATTATCTGTATTTCTGCAGAGAAGGCAGACCATATCTTTGTGATTCTCTAGGCCAAGGAGGCCCTGCAAGAGAGACTCCTTGTACTCAGTTCAGTTCAATTTTAACTGGACACCTGTTAAATTTAGGATCTGTGCAAGGCATATGAGAAATACCAAGTATTATATTTCCTCAAAACACTTAGTCTTGATTACAGTACAATGCATGAAATTTGGGAAGACTGCCTTCAGGCTTCTCCTAAAAGTAGTTTGTTGTATTTTTTTAAAAAATGAGTTGGGCATACTGAATGTCCCTGTATGCTACTCTATTAATTGGTCCCAAACACTTAGCATTTCTAACTCTTGCTTGCTTTGGAAAAACTAAATGGAGAGAAGTATTTAGGCTTAATATCACACACTGAGGTAGATTTTAAGGGACAGAAGTAAGTAATACATATTTATTAGGTATTTATAAGCAATTAATATTTGTTCAAATCTATTATATATTTTAATCCTTAAAATAACTGTAATTGGTGTAAACAAGCTTCACAGAGATTAATTTACTCAAATTTACCTTCTCTGAGAAGTCTTCTTAGAAGTTCCTACTCATACCCATAAAGTCTTCACCTTTGGTGTGGGGTAGCAATGTGCCTATGCATTCTCGTAGAACCTTGTGTTACTCTTTGTTGTTTCAGGTACCACCATTTACTATTTATAGTTATCTCTTTACTTGTCTGGTCCTCTGCAAGACAATACACTTTTCAACAGGTGTCAAAGCATGTCCTCTTATTTCTATTCCAAGCATGTAATTTGTGTTACCTATATAGTATAAGCATGAATAAATATAGAAGGATTGTGTGAATAAACGAATGCTTTTAGAACAAGAATTTAAAATAGTTCTCTGTGCCTTAAATTATTTGTTCTTTTTTTGTAGTGTTCCTTTGAATGAATATAGGTTGCTTGCTTGTGATATACAGCAACTTTTCATAGCAGTTACAATTCATGCTTGCAGTTCCTCAGGCTCACAATACTTTAGGGTTATTGAAGACCTTATTGTACTTCTTGGATATCTTCAAAATAGCAAAAACAAAAGGACACAAAGTAAGATTTAAATTTCATGGATTTGGGGAGGAGTTGTATAATAGCCTAATATGTTATTTGAACTTAATGTCTTTCTTTTGGAAACTGTGTTACTGAAGGTTCATCCTTAATTTTATGATGATATCTATTAATGTTAAAAGCAAGGCTTTTCTAAGTGGCAAAAATTTTTAAATGAATCCTTGATGTAATTAGTAGCATCATTAAAGCCACTTATTTTTCTTACCAAGTAGAATTAAATGGCTATTGTTTAATAATAATCCCCATTAGTTTTCTTTCATGGCAAATATTAAAGTGAATATGAAACAGAAAAATGTGAGAATTTCTAGTTAAATCTTGCCTTTTATATCTTAAAAGCCTATTTTTTAAAGCAGTTATATAAAATCAGATAAATCTGTGAGTCAGTATTTTCCCATTGAATTTTTTATAGCAACCATTTGGAAATTTGCTTTAAAATTCTTTCAAAGACTGCTTAAAAATATGTACCACCAAGAGCCCATGTTGATCAAAATTTTTAAATTTGTGTCTAACAGAACATTTTTGACAGTTAGATATTGCATGAATATAAAAATCAATTCAGTTTTAAAAATTAACAACCACTTCATAATGCATGATCAAAACCAAAAGCTTCTGTGATGACTGCCCTTGTAATGTTCACCATGTAACTTATTCACTATGTAAGAATTTGTTCTCCATGTAAGAACTTGTTCGTTATGCTTCAGAAGATTGGAGACTGATGACAATTAGGCTTGGGGTGGATTAATGATTGTGCATTGAGCATTGACCCCCCTGTACAGAATTTTATTGTGGT